TTATGTAGGCCTAATGAATGAATAAAGTTCGGAGTTTGCCGGGTAGTGAAATAATTATTTCACATTTTAAGTGCTCCCTAAATTCATAAGTGTAAGCTAAATTACGGTGATTAATTTAATTAGCGAAGATATGGAGACAATTATTTCGAATCCCTCTTTCCAAGAGGGGATGCAAATGCTTTGTGAAAATGAGTAGGCCGCGGTACTCATTTTCACAAAGAAATACACACAACTGGTTAGCTAACAATTATGTCAATGTTACACCTGGGAAGGAATGGTGCAATCACGTTGTTACCTAGCAAACGTCTGTCCTGTATGGGGGAGGGGCTGCTGATGTACTGTGTAGCAGGGGACGATGAGGCATAAGACTAGGCCTAGGCTACAGTAACTAAGACAGTGGAATTATATGTGATAGAAAGTACACTTTCGAAAGAAATAAATTAAAATAAGAACAAAAAATAACTAAGAATAATTGATTTGCAGAGGTACCTTAAAAGTATTATACAATGCTAACAATGCGGCTCTTAGCCCTGGCTTGGGCAAAGGCATCCATGTCAAAGCAGTGGTGTTTGTTTATCCATAAAAGCACGCCGGGAAAGTTTGCCTTACCAGGAAAAGGTGACGTATCTAGCTTATGACGTATGCATGCTAACTAATGTGAGTAACCAAAAAATGAATATTTTCTATTATAACCAAAATATTAATAACTACAAAGTTTCTGGGCGTAAATTCCCTTAATATGAATGAAGGGTTGCTCAATCTCCTTGCCATACAAATTACAGCTCCCACTGACATCTCAGTCAAGAAATACGGGTAGCTGAAGTTTTTCTCGCAAATCTGACTACAAAACCATATCCAAATTTCACGTTCCACTTTTGACCCTGAGTTGTGCTTCGCACTCGCCGCTGAACCCTGCGTCCAGTGTAAATAGTTGGATGCATCTGAAGTAAAACTCTGTTAATAAATTCAATATTCATGCCAAAGGCTTCACCAGAGTAGCAGGAAAACCATGATACATCGGAAGGACCATCTAATGTACAGTACTTTTATCATGGATACTGTATCTCAATCTGGTGTCATATTGTAAAAATTTACTGTACAGTAATTTGATATACAAGAAGCAGCAACAGCCTTTTCACAAAAATTTGGTTTACCTAGAAATTAACAATGCAGCTCAATCAATAGTACTATACAGTAATCATTATACAGCCTATGCATCATGGCCAATCTGTATGATGCAGGGTTACATCATATACTGTACAATGTCTATTTTATAATGAAGTGCAGTAGTTCTATGGGATGCCATACGCAGCAAAAGTCCATGTTAACATCAAAATGTTTGCTAATTTACCAAAACGTAGGCATAAATTGCTCAAAATGTAGATCTAGTTTCCCAAAATGAAGTTCTAATTTTTCAAAACGTAGCTCAAACTTGCCAAAATGTAGTTCTTAAATTTCTAATGTAATTCAAATTCAAAACGTAGGCCCTCTCCAAATTCTGTTCCAAAACGTAAATCAAAACCAGCCAAGCATGACTGGTTTGAAATACATTTTACAACAACACAAGACATGCAAAATGTAAATCAAAACTAGTCAGTCAAGCATGACGTGGGCCTGTTCCATTAATGATGGGGGAAGCATTTTTCGCAGCAGTCCAATGCCATGAGCAACGCTTCCCAGTGTGTCTGCTAATTTTTAATGGTCAGGGTGCCGCGATCACGCGATTGAAAAATTAGAACTTCATTTTGGGAAAACAGATCTATATTTTGAGAAATTTACGCCTACGTTTTGATAAATTAGACATTAAATTTTGCAATTACATTTTGATTTTAACATTTTGCTTTTGCTGCGCATGGCACCTCATATAGTTCTGGCTTGCTCATATTCTAATTCAACCTTAATCCTGCTTTTGCACAAGACTATTCCACCAACAACCAAGCCACAAAAAAGTATTGTTTGTTAGGCGAGACTTTTTTATTCCTTGTTTCGCATACTTATTTTTTTAAAGATCATTGGAGGAGGGCGGAATAAAAATAAAATCTTGTTTTCTTATTTAGCAAATAGTTTTGCCAAAAACATCCAGATGTAGGAGAAAATAAAAATAAAATTTTATTGGTGAATGTAAAATGGGATGGTTAAATGCTTCAAATTTATATAATTAGGAAGAAATATACATATTTTATCTTTGGAGATTTCAAGGCAGCGAAGGGCGTAATAACATTTTTTTTTTAAATTTCAATTTTTTACTGAAATTGCCATTTTTTGTGGCGGCAGGTGCACAAATTGGCAAAAAATAAAATTTTATTTTTATTTGATTATTCGAAATCATCTACTGTACATTTGCGTTCGGCGGGTTCGCTGAACAAGGTATAAAAAAAAGTTTTGTCTTAGTGTTGTTTTGTGATTCGAGCGGCTGGGCTACCCTTCCACCGGTCTTGATCCAATAATATGTGACAATTAATTAGAATTATACATCTGAATCGCGCTACAATTAAGGAGAGGAATACTAAAATGCCATATTCATTTTTACATAAATATCCATGGAAATATAAAATTATTAAACATTTAGAATGTAAATGGAATTTAAACCAATGCTTACTATTAATAAAATTAATTACATATTCTTAAAGTAAAAAATATAACTGTGTTTTTATATGCTGTTGATTCTTTCATAATATGATTCTTTCATAATATTCAGTAAACTACTGTACAGTAATAAAAAAAATTGTGACTGAGAAAAATTAACAACTCAGGTTGTCACTCTTCAATACTATACCAATTCATAACGAAATAGAAGAGAAGCCAAAACTTGGAAAAGGGGAATTTTAATTGTCAAAACAAGGGGGCTGATGACATGTCGTACAATTTTCTAGATGTTACAATGACACGACAGAGATTTATATTAATTAAACTGGTTGAGATAATGATTGCATTCACTTACCAGTCTTTTTCCGGACACAGTTACAGAAGCCCTTTACAGCCATTTCCTCTGTTACAGAAACAGTCTCTGGAACATCTAATTTTGGCACACAAAGTGTCATGCTCAATTTATCCAATTGTTTTTGAATGTCCTGAGCAATAATCAAATGATTGCTCTTTACAGAAATTTCTGATAAGCTTCTGTTGACCAAGAGAGGTAATTTTCGTGGAGATTCATGTAATTTTTTCTTTTTAGGTGTACCATTGCTACGATGACGTGCCCGATGACTACTACCATCATGCTTCTGAGATTCACTACTTTGAAGCGAGTGTCTACGTTGTCTTTTCACATTTTGACTGGCAATTTTTAATATGTCGTCAAAACCTCTCCCGATTTGATATTTCCTGCGATCTATCACTGGCCCAGGAACTCTAGTATTCTTTCTAACATCAGTTAACTTGTTACTTTCAGTGTTATTGCTATCTGATGCAGTATCTATGGCTTGTGGAGGACATACCTCTGGCTGGCTGGACACAGTAAATTCTTGAGCAATATCAGTATCAGAGAGAATAACAGCTTGGTGATCCTCTGAGTCAGAGAGAAGAAATTCATCAAGGTTTCTACAATATCGGGATGTCATAGGCTTTGTGGGTGAAATATCTAACTCACAACCAGAATTGTCATCAGTATTCTCATGGAGATTTTGGTCCAAAATATCTTTCTTATTTTTCTTCCAATCATCAGATAACTGTTGATATGTTAACTTAGGTAGACTGCTCTTTAGAGGTAAAACCTGTTGATTATTAACTACCTCATCTGTATCAACATAATTTTGCAACCGAGGTGCTGTTCCAGCTACAGAAATCTGCATTAACTCTTCACTAGTGTTAGGGGGTCTATAATATCCATCCAAAGCACTATTCGTAGGCAGAGGGGATGACGCAAGGTCATTAGAATGTGAATATATTAAACTGCTGGTTCTATTATTAGAAAATTGAGATACTTCTGCCCCAAGAGTAGGTAGCAGTCCTCGTTGCATACTATTTGATGTTACATTATTTTCAACAGGAGTTGGGAGAAGTGCTGGTGGATTACAAAGAGGTTGATTAGGCACCTTTGTATGTTCAATATGGTCAGATATCCTGGGATCCAGTTGTACAGGCTTCTTACTAAATGTTGTGTTATCCATCTTTACCAAATCAGTGTTATTAACAGGTTCACCATCTTCACTATGCAATGTGGAAGTATCACTGACAGCAAATCTGGAGCCCTTACCTGGATCAGTCGAAAGCCTTAGGTACTTTTTTATCGAATTTAATCTGAAAAAAATAAAATATTATAATATAGTTTATTTATAAAATTCTATTAAGAATATAAGGCAAGATCACGTAATTCCTTATCAATCCTATGAGTGCTAGACGATGCATTGCTGTCATCTGCTTATTGTCAATGGCAGTCTGAACAGATCATCATAAAAAAAAAAAATTAATTTTATCTGAAAAAATATTACAAAAAAGTTTATTAAAAAAATTCTATTAAAAATATAAGGCAAGATCACTTAATTGCTTATTTATCCTGTGAGCGCTAGACGATGCGAAGTTGTCTTCTGCTTATTGCCACTGGCAGTCTGAATAGGTTGTGTGGGCGCCAAGTTACTGCGTTCGCCATAGAATCGCGTCAGCTGACAACTGTTGGTTGCAGTGAGTGCTGTTAAGCCGTTGGTCCCTTGTGCAAGACTTTGACGTGTGGGTTTAGAGTAAAATGTTGGCTAAAAATGACCATAAATATTTATAAACATATTAATATTCCAAATGGCCTTTGTTACCCAGCCAGAAAACAGGTCATTCAAGTATTTTTTCAGTGTATTTTTTTTAAGGATTATTTCAATATTGTTGTTACAAAATAATATGTATATAGTAAAGTTATAATATTAGTCCATTTTGCACTCTTTTTCAGTTGCATCTGCATAAAGTAAATACAATATTAGGATATTAGATGGACAATGGATACTTTTTATAACAATCAAAAAGTACAGAGAATAAGCTGGAACAATTGATGGTAGTTTAGTCTTCCATAATAACATAGAGAATAAGAACAGGAAAGATTGACGGTAGGTTAGTCTTTCATAATAACATAGAGAATAAGACTTTCAGAATATTATTGCTCATTCAAAAAATTCATTCAACCATATCAACATTTTTTCCTGGAATCATTCCTGAGAAACACACTATCAATCAAAGAAATTATCCATCATTTTATCCAAGGAAATGTACAGGCACTACCATTACTAGACCTCAGTAGAGCATACTATACACAAGTATTACTTCACAAACATAAAAATATGAAATATCAGGGCAAAATACAGTAACATCAGGAGCCCAACAGAAAAAATAACACTTTTTTCTGGTTTTGGTGGGTAAAGCAGAACTCCTAAGGACTCCAGTTATGAGTACAACATTAAAATTAAAATGGTGAGAACCAAGTTAGGCAACATTGCTCATTTTTTCATTTTGCTCCCCCACCCCCACGTGTCTGGCTCTTGAAAGTGAAGTCCCGCTTTCTTTCTAGATCTACATGTCCTGCTTTTAAACATTCAGGAGTTGAAATGTCTGCTGAATGAGGTAGCATTGAAAAATACTCTCTTGCAAGTGGAATTTTCAGAAAATATAAGAGAGGCTAAAGTGCAGTAACAGTGGAATTAGGACTGGTCCCACTGACCACCTCCTCACGATTGTAAGTCCAAACTACCTAGGCTAGTTATAAATTAAGAGGCTTACTATAGGAATGTGGTTCGGCTGCGATGTACCGTATATTGTATAACACCTTGAAAATCACAAAATAAGCATCATGTGTTTGCTAAGTATTATTTAAATATTATGTTTGCTCACAAATAGGCTTAAGCCCTCTCCCACTAGGGTTTTTTTCAGCATACGAGTTACAAGAGAATGCCGAGTTGCTAACTCGGCAAACTCGGCAAAAACTTGTAGGACGATTCGGAAAGCTCGGAGAGGACTCTTATACCTACTCGTAGCAGCTCTGAACTTGTGGCACTAATTTTGTTCAAAATTATCGCCACGAGTAGATAACTCGTAGTAAACTCGAAGAACTCGTAGGTAGCTCGTAGAGTACTCGGGGTACTCCTACCTAGCTCGTACACTATTCTGGATACTCGTCTGCGGTTTTGTCATCTAAGAGTTTGATGCGAGCACCCCGATACGAGTACGAGTAAGTACGAGCGCACCGAGTTGGCTCGTACCTAACTCGTATCTAATTCGGTACAAACTGTTACGCTCTTAATAATCTCGTAGATAACTTGGTGCTCTGCTCGGCATAATTTGTACACAACTCGTAACCAACTCGTAACCAACTCCATAAAGTCATACCTCACTCCTAGCTAACAGGTAATAAGCTCGTATAGGTCCTTTCCAAAGATCACGAGTTTGAACTCGTAGAAATCGTACGACTCTTAGGTGAAATAAACCTAGGTGGGAGAGCAGCTTTATTTATGTCATCAGTAACCAGATTTCGTTAAAAGTGAATATTTTTACTTAGTTAAACACTGTATTTAAAGTTTGTTTATTGTGTTCGTTTATGCCTAAACACCTTGAAAATTAGGAAATAAACATGATGTGTTTTCTTAGTATTAATTAATATTTGCTTTACAAATAAGTTTGTATATTCACAGCTTATTTCTTGTGGTTATTTATGCATAAGAATAAACGGACTATAAATCACATCTTTATTGCACTACCCATTGTTTATGTTGTGCACATTTTGAGTCATTTGCAGAATTTGCCGCATTGTGCATGGAAATCTTGCACAATTTGAAAACTGCAAAACTGCAAAGTTTGCAAACTGTGCAAAGGAGAATGGTGAAGTTCTTAATGCGTGGACAATTTGCATTGAACTGTTCAAGAACAGCTCATGCACATTTTTGCACATTTTTATACTACAGTATTTTACTATTATTCTTCTGTTCCTGGGTGGATATGTGACGGGACATAACATCAGAAGTTTGAATAGAATAATAAGGCAGGGTCATGTGGATAATCTGGACATGTGTGGACCGTGTGGTGGGGAGGAATGGGGAGGCAGTCAGTTTGGTAGGTGAGGGGGTAGGGATGATGGGTAGGGGTTTTTTGGGGGTCTTATTTATTTTAACTTTTTTTTATATGAATACATTGTAGTTTGTTAAATTCTTATTTCATTGTTCAATTGCTGTTTTGGTTAAGAATTATTTGCAAAACAAACTGGCGTGCTGAAAAAATCGTCGTTTACATTCAAGTTTTTAGGAGTAATATAAATCCTATTGCATTTAAATGTCACATTTTACCACATGATGAAAGAAACCTTGCACAGTTTGCAAACTATGCGCACAGTTTGAAACAAGTTTGAATCAACATCTGTGACTTCCATACTGGTAACTGTGTAAAGAAATACAATTGTGCAGATGTTAACTCAAAAACTAGCTCAAATTTTGTGAGAAAAATCGCGAAGAAAATAGGTGCGCAGAATCATAATTACTGCATACACTGATATTACGAAATATGCTTAAGTTTCTGCAAAATCTGCACCAAAATCACCGATTATTAGAGATTTTGTTATCTTGTTCGAGAACCAATCCGCAAGAGAAAGTACATATATTTGTGTATGACGTCACCAGTTTTGGCCTAGTTTTAGTTTTCTCGCACTCAAAAAAACTCAAAAATGTGTTTATGCCTAAAAAGCAGAAAATACACGAAAATACAAAGACAATTTTTTAACTTATATTTAAAAGCAAAACGATCGCACTACACTTTTGCACACCCCGTGTCCAGCAAGATAGTCTGATTCCAGCCTTTAGCTCATTAAAAATATATATTTTTCGTTGTAGTAAAAAAAAATAATAAAAATAAAATAACGAGCCTCAATTTCGTACATTCTGGGTCGGTCGGGTGTGGCTCACACAGTAATTTTTTTTATTTAGCCTAATCAATGTATCTTGTCCTAGGCTAGGCCCTAGCCATTCCATACATTACATGGCAACTATTTTAAAGGAAAACTCTCTATTTTCCGAAATGTGTGACCAGATTTTTAGGTTAAGTTTTGCGCAGATGATTTGATTATACTGTATTCCCCCAGGCATGCCTTATCTACAGTCTGATGTGGCTCAAAATGAGCAAAAACCTCAAATTGCGCACAACATAATACTATACTAGGCCTAACAAGTAATGTAAGGTCATTAATTAGAATTATATAGAATATAGTCGTTGCCTATCTGGGGCCTAGGCCTAGGCCTATGCAGCTTAAAGGCCTGTTTATACTTCAACAATAAAAATAAAAAAGCTAAAAAGCAATTGTTCACATAGAAAATAAAAGAAATAAGAGAAGTTTGTACACTAGAACAGTCAATAACGATTCATCAGTTATGTGATAACAACATATTTTGACAAATCAAATCAGATGACGTCATAATCATGGAAAAACATTAAAATCGTAGTAGTAGCAACAATTTTATCGTTTTTCCATGATTATGACGTCATCTGATTTGATTTTTAAAAATATTTTTTATCGTATACACGATAAATCGTTATCCAATCGTCCTAGTGTACAAACCTCTCTTATTTCTTTTGTTTTCCATATGAACAATCGCTTTTTAGCTTTTTGGTGATCCGCATCTAGTGCGGATCACCTCTTGTTATTGTCAGATATATTTTTTTTTAAATTCTACATTCTGACAAATAACTGTTCGCACGATATCTCAAATTTGCCGAGAGCTACGCACAAAACGACTACAACAAACATTTGGCTTGGCCTGGAATATTGACAATAAGCTTTGCAAGGTTACCAGTAACGTGTGACGTCATCTACGCGCATTTTTGTGTTTTTTACGCAATTAATTATATCAGCCTAACCAATTGACATTTCGAAATCGTATTACGTGAGCATTAACTTCGAGTGAAGGTTGATTGTAATGTACACTCATTTTGCGCGTGCGCTTAATAACGCGTCAAAATTTTAAAATGGTCAAAATCAATTTTTGACTAAATTAGAGCACGTTTTAAGCCATTTTGAGCATTTCAACATTTTTAAAAATGTCGGCACCGTGTGCACATTTTTACGCACGCGTCATGTACAGAAGTTAAAAATATTGGGTTTTTTTTATGTTTTAGGTCCCTGACACTGTATTCACAAATTTCCAATCTTTTTTGGTCATTTAGGGTCAATAGCAATGCTGTACGCGCGCATAGAACATAAAAGCACATGTACGCGTTTTTTGCGACATATAGCAAAAATAGGCCAACAACATGCCTATTTTCAATCAGTTATAGCTCCTTAG